AGCCGCTCAAACCCGTCGTCCAATTTTGGAAGCCAGCGAACCCAATTGGGTCAGAACAAGAGGCAGTGAATTCCACTATGGTACTTGCAAACAAAACTGTGATAGCAACATAAGGATAGTATACCAAATTTTGAGAGGCCTAATTCGCCAAAAGAGCACCACTGCTCTCACCAAGCCCCCCCCCCCCCCCCCCGATCAAGATCCTCCTTATTTACCAGACGTCACTAGAAAGTCTCCAAATGATCTAGGGACAAGTCTTCCCGAATAATCGTAAAATCTTACCCCTCACAAGCTCTCACAAGTCACAACCAGCAAGTCACATGACAACGAAAGAAGAGGTGCTCCTGTGTTTCCACCTCCTCCTCACAAACCAGACATCGAGCATCCCCCATGCCCTAATGAGCAATGAATCACCAGTTGATAAGACACGAAGAACAAGCTACCTTAAGAAATATCGCAACTTAGAGGACATAGGGGCAACCCAAAAATTTCAACCACAAAATGTCATCACATGTAAGAGCCTCTACTTTCACTACTAGCCCTTTTTTTCTTTCTCATCCACATCTAGACGATTCCTTGACTTAACCGAGTAACACCAAAAAGGTTCTCTCATCCAAACAAGTCAATCTGCAATCAAAGAAATAGGCAGAAGAACAGCCATGATGGAATGGACTATATCCTCGTAAAAAACAATTTCGCAAGCAATCAACATTCCAGAGTCCCTGATCAGGACGTATCAACAATGTCATTGTCCCTTGCACCCCCACAATCCAAGAACGAGTCTTGAATGATGGGGATGAAGACTTGGCATCCAATTTTCTGTCAGAACTTCCATCGTGGACCAATACCCTATTTGCAAAAAGAGCCCCTTACCCTATAATGCTCGACAATTTAACATCTCACGCCAACTCCCCAATGGCAAATACCCAACTTGCGCCTCGAGAAGTGAAGAGTTCGGTAAGTGTATGCCTTTATACAGGTGAGCCGATAGAGAGTCTGACTTCTTCAAGATCTATCATGCCATCTTAGCCTGAAGAGTCTGATTAAACTCCTCAAACCTCCTAAAGCACATCCCACCATCATGCTTACTCAACACAAAGTGATTTCCAGACTATTCGATGTACATGCTGGTTTCCATGCTTCACCCCTACCAAAACATGGCCAAATGGCTATCTAACGTACGACACACGAACAAAAGAAGGAAGAAGCAGGCAATCACATGAATGAGGAGAGCGTTGGCCACAACCTTAGCAAGCACCTCCTTAGCCACCTAGGAAAGAGAACATTGTTTCAACTTCGAAGAAGATCTAGTTGGGAGTTAACAAACCTAAATTATGAAGTAAATTGACTTTCTATCAAACACAAATATATTTATTTATTATATATTCAAATTTATCCTTAAAATAAGAATTGAATGTTGACTTTAGTTTTGAACTTAGGGATTTGCAAAAATGAAGTAGAATTTAATTGTCCTAGTTTGAATTTAAAAAATTTACTAAATCGAAGTATACCGCTTGCAACATTCCAAACATTTTATAACTAAAATACTTGGGAGGGTTGCTCCCATCTTTTTTCGTTATATTATTTTTTACACGATTAACAGTGACTGATTATGATAGACAAATCTTACAACGAAAAAGCACAAGAGATATCCATGACCTTAAGGAACCATTCAATTTTTACTACCAAGATACGTTTTTAGGTGGAATGGTTGATTTCTTGTAAGAAATTTTAAGTTAAACTTGTCAAGGTAGATCAGTGCAGAGATAGACGACCTCTTGGAATGTCATCATGATGCACTGAAAATCAAAATCATGTTGGGATAGACCCAAAGCGGATAATATATTTGTCAAAAAAAGGTTGAGATGCTACAAGTTGTGTCAGAGCCTCCCGACGTCCTTCTTGAACGATGGTGGGGAAAACATCAATGAAGGATATTGAGTCACAAAGGAAGAGTAATATAACACTTCAAGAAAATTTCACATCGACAAAGTACAGAGATTAATGTTCACAAGAAGAACTTCAAGTTTAATCACCAAGATGCATTTTGGATTGAAATTCTGGTAAAACTCGAGAATTATTTAATAAACATGCTTAACATGATGCAATGTAGAGATAGGTAACTTCTCTAAAAAAAAATTATCTTAATACCTTTATTCAAACAAAAAAGTCACCATAATGCACTAAAATACCAAAATTAGATTCAAAACGGACAATATCTTCTCACGGTATACTTAACCGTGGCTGACCTCTTATTATGTCGAGCCCAAAAGAACAAAGCCCACTGCGCCCTGTGCAAATCTACAGAAGGCCTCTTTCGCGTTGCCCCGTCGGGTCGGGTATCTGCCGTTGCCCCGTAATCACGTGGCCGCCTGGCCCTGGCCGGGAAGTGAGAAGTGGTCCTAACTCCTAAGGCAGGCACGAGCCCCTCTCCTCTTCTCGCTCTTCGTTTCCGTTGATTCTCCTTCGAGGTCACAAGATATAGAGCAGAGAACAAACCAGAAGAAGAAGAAAGTCGGCAGCTTTGCAATTGAAGATAGCTTGTCAAGGCCATGATATTATAGTCTGTACGCCAACCAGAACCTGGTCGAACAAGAAGGAAGGAAAAAAGAAAGAAATTCTCATGTCGAGACTATCGCTGATTCAACGGATTACACCATTTTTCGCCGCTCGGATTCGGCAGAATCACCGGCTTCTAAGTTCTTCTTCCTCCTCTGCGCTCCGCCAAGCTCCCTCTGCCGCTCCATCCCTCGAAGAATCTCTGCACCTGACCGAAAATTGCATCCGGGTATATGTTCGTTCATTCGTCTATCTCGTTGGCTTTTCCTTTGATTTTTTCCCTTGATTGATGCTCCGATTCGTGATCTGTCTTACCTTGCTGGGCTGATGCTTCAATTGGGGTCACTTCCTTTTCGCCGGTGAGCGCAATAGAATTGGAACCCCATCGCGTTTGTTCCTTCCGCTAAACCTCCCAGTTCTGCCAATTTAACGATCGAAATATTATAGATAGACGCTTCGGGCTTTCATTTTTATTGAAGCTTGTTTTGTAGCATATATGCTATATGATCTGGCTTATTCTTCGACTTCATGTATGAACTGGGAATCATTTCTAGCATCATTCGGTGGTTTCATGAGAGCGGATTCTGATTCTCATATCCTTTCTGGGTCTGATTTAGAACCTGTTTTCATTCTGATATGATGTATGAAGAGGGTGTTTTCATGGAGGTATTGGGTTGTCTTTTCAGAGAATGAAAGAACTGCAAGCCAGTGAGAGATCAACAGAGGAGAAAATGCTGCGCTTGGGAGTAGAAACCGGTGGATGTTCAGGATTCCAATATGTTTTTGACTTGGACGATAAGTTGAACCCTGATGACAGGTGCTTTATCTTCTTTACTTTTGTATCCTGTTGATGTAAAGTTGCTGGTTAAATCATGCTTTAGGATGCCATCATGCCTTATTTTTGTACCTATCATCTTTTCATTGCATATTTTCTGCAGAGTATTTGAGAAGGAAGGAGTGAAATTAGTTGTTGATAATATATCTTACGATTTCGTTAAAGGGGCAACCATAGATTATGTTGAAGAGCTCATTCGATCTGCATTTCAAGTAAGCATTCCTTCTGTAAAGTGTGTGTTATGCTCAATTTTTCATTTGTATGTCTTCATTCTGGTTGTTGTTTCATTGTGGACGATTTACGTAGGCTTTCCTTTGAAATATGATGATGAAATATGAGATTGGGTTGATGCCTTGATTTTACTTATCTGAAAAATGGATTAAGGACATTATTGTAGCATCCGGACGCTGTCTCACCAATCAGTTAGCTCAGCTTTGGATGGTAACTGGTAACATTGTATGGTACACAGATCAGTTCATGATGTGCTACACTGTCATGGACTCAGTAGTGATGTTTGATGCTCTCTAATCTGGCTTGAGCTTCTACTGGAAATGTCTTACTCTGGTAAGACAAGTGTTGTCAGTGGTAAATATCGAATAAATGAGCATTCCTAACGATTTAAATAGTTATCATGCTATTGGTAAGGGTTTGATCCATCAAGAGGCCGATTTACCTTAGATGGACAGATACTTCTTCTTTACCTAATTATGCGTGGTCAGCTATTGCGGACCTGCAGATTCAATGATGTTTAAGGTTGATCAACACCTCTTGGATAATCTGTCCCACTGAATCCCTAATCTAATCAAGTTGCTATTCTGATGAAATTTTAAAAGGGCCTTCCCAAAGCACGAGTCTAGAATGACTTGGTTAGGACTGTGATCATAGGTGACTAGTAGACATATAGCTAATTCCGCTGCTGATTCTTGTAGTTATTAGAATACAAGTCAAACCTAGGATCTTCAGTATTGGACAAATTGCATATAGGTCTGCATCTTGTTGATGAAATAGGGCAGACACATGTCAGTTATTAGACACAAGACTAATATTTACTGCTAAGCTCTTTTGATTTTGAAATGGGGTTGGAACTAAATTTGGGTTTCTTTTGCAGGTGACTGAAAATCCAAGTGCAGTTGGCGGTTGCAGTTGTAAAAGCTCTTTCATGGTTAAATAGTGATGCACTACACTTCAACGAGACACTGATTCTTCCTCCCATGTATTATTATGACCGATTAGCCGCTGTCTGTATTTTATTGTTCTCTTTTCCTATTGATTCATATAATAAAACTGAACCCAAATTTTGCACCAGATTCCTTGTATAAAACGCGATCCCTGTAATGCAGAGAGCTCGTTACTGTTTGAGAATGCAGCAATGGAGAGAAGTAATATATATTTCCTGTAGAATTGTTCATACAATGTGTCCACACTGTAGAATTGCTCTATAGTAACGGATTTGTTCTCCCTGTAATTCATAGAATGTTTCCTCACTTGGTTGTGGGATGTTACTAGCAAGCTTTTCCTTCTCTAGACATGTTTGATCGAAAATAATACCAAGAAAGATGACTTCCTAGTGCATTAGTGTTAGTACGATAGCAAGTGCAGAACTGCATCTTATGCAATCATTTGTGGCGACTTGAACGAAATAAAAGGGTCTTATAGACTTAACTCGTTACAACAGAAAGAAACGAGTTCAAGCGAACAGAATAAACATCCATAGAAAGCCAAATGGCCAGATCTTGCCAAACTGAAGAGCACAATGTTCTCAGTTAAATTACTGTTGTGCTTACCGAAACAAAATACAAAAATCACCAAAAAAAAGAAAAAAAAAATCCAGCTTTCTTTAAAGTATGGTTTCACTGCCCATCCAAGAACTCTTATTGCTACTCTGGTGACATCAAGGTTTGATTCCAAAACTTAGCCGCTCATTCTGCGGGTCTTTGTCCCAAAACTGAAATGTCTTCATAGCGTTTCTGCAGCAGGAAACAACAAAGTAACTCAGAGAGAAAATAAAAATGCCATTTCAAAGATGATTCCAAGGATAAGACACCAAAGGTGAACCAGTAATGATATCAAAGTCTGATTCTTTTTCAGCCTTGAGCAAGGAATGCAGACACCGTGAGTACGATACAACAAGAGAGTTGCTGAGTGCAGATAGGAAGACTAAGATTACAGCATCACACAAGCCCGGAATAAATGCAGAGAGAAAGAAAATCAATAACTTCTGAGACCACTGTGTGATTAGCCAAATAAAGACATCTTCATAACCACGAAATGCATAATATGCTACGCCATTCACAAGTGCAGAAGCACCCCTATACAACCATGCACATACTGAGTCAAACATTGAGGGTTTGTCCTGACAACTAATGTTAGCAAAATGATAAACAAAAATTGACTTGGAAGTTTATCTATCAATGGAATCTAACAACAATGGTTTGAACAAGTCCAAGGAAGAACCTAAACAGCAATGGTCCGAGCAAGTCTAAAGACTAACCTAAACAGCATTGGTTCTAGGCTAGTGTATCTCAGCAAAAAGGGTATACACAAATTACAGAAAAACCACAGGTTAGCTATTCTTGAAGATTAAAGGAACTATGAAAAGGTTAGATCACAAAACATTGTCATCGACACTAATGACACCCTTAATTGGGTTCAAAGTAGACTTTTACAAAATAGTTCATCTCCATTCCCGTATCACTTCAACTTCTTCCACAAAGCATTTGGTTTTCTTTTATGAATCACAAAGCATTTGTTTTACGCAGAGGTTATGCAAATGATGAATTGACGCAATCAATGCAGGTGCGTGGCAGGTACAAAAAGAACATCCGTGAAAAATAGAAATGTGGAGAAATTCAAGAGCAATACCCCAACATTGTTGTACTCCCACAACTTGTGAACTCCATAATCCACAGCCTGCACCAACCAGATGAAGCGTTTTCCAATTAATGAGATGAATTTATCATTAAAATCCTAGCATTCACCACCCAATTCTTACAAATAAACAACGACTACCAAACATCTCAATCAGACAATCTAAAATAGTACTATCTAATGCATGTGAAAAGCTCGGCGAGAACACGCTGTTCAGATCCGCGTCCCAGGGCTGCCCATAAACGATTCCAAATACTAATCGAAGGCTTTAGAACAAATAGCTCAAAGGGCCTTCTGAATCATCAAGGGAATCGAGATAATTTTCCAGTAATTCCACTCACGATTTCCCGGGAACAGAACAATCAATTCGTTACAATTCTCAAGCATTCACAAAGTTAACAAGAAGAATCAAATGCCATCAAATCGTCGAAATAAGGGAATCGATCTAGAAACGTACCCGTTCTCCGAAGAAAGCACCGGCGAGGACAAACGTGGCATAGACTGAGGTCCGGCGCATGAAAACCTTGTAGATGCCTTCGAAAAGGCCACTTTGAGCTCTTCGAGGTACGTATTCCATGGTGACTAGCCTCGATTACGCTGTTCGGATCAGTCCTCTAGGGTTTGCAGAGACAAAGGGAAAACGGGAAAAGAAGAGATGCGTCTGCTTACTACCAGAGAAATTTCGACGATGGCGATGAAGAAATTGTTTTCTCTTTTTTAATTGAGATAACCGGGCAAGTCAGCGGATCGAGCCCAGTTGTTGGGCCTGGTATATTGCTCAGTCATGGGCTCATGGTCCACGACTTTCTCCCTCGCATTTATTACTTCCTTTTTCCGTTTACCCTCCCATATTATTTTTCTTTTCATAAAGACCCCTCCTCTGGTTTAAGTACTAATTATCAATTTATTATAGGGGCTTATTCGTTAACTATTCATAATATAAGACTTATTTAGCTATTCATGCAAATTTTAGTCAGTGGATGAATTAACCAACCTTTTCAGTGCTGAAGACTCGATGTCAGCGTGACGTGTGGTTTGGAGGAGGAACTTCGTCCTACTTCTGTGCGAGAGCCACAGTTTTCGCCATTAATAACAGTTTCGTACTTGGTAGTTTGAAACTTCGACCTGAGAGTATCCCAAGCCAAGCAGTCTGCTGGAGAATTTACCAGGAAGGAAGATCCTTGCCACGATGGATTTGAACGACGAGGGCTCCCACTTCGAGCTCAAGGAGATTCAGACACTTAGTGGTCACACCGATAGGGTTTGGAGTCTGGCCTGGAATCCGGCCACCGGAACTGACGACACGCAGCCGGTTATTGCTTCCTGTAGCGGCGATAAGACTGTCCGAATCTGGGAACGGAGTGCCTTGACTCGTTCTTGGGACTGCAAGGTTTTGACTTCCTGTTCCTTTTTTGTTTTTTCTTTTCTCTGATTTTGCCTACTATGTTATGTATGATAAGGGTTAGTTGAGAGTGATACAGAACGAGGAAGCTAAGCTTCATTGGTTGATTTTCTTTTACATATCAATTACATGAAGCAGTAAGGAAGTTTGATATAGTGTTTCTCTACGAAATTTTCAGTATGCATCTCGTTAAGTCTGGAGTGTCGACATATCTTTTTAGCTAAATTGAGATGATTAGCTATTGAAGTTGGATTCAGCAATGGATGTTTGCTGTTGATAATGATAAGCGGAGTTAGTTGATTTCGCATTGGAACTCAAATTGGGAATGATCATGCAGGCAGTTTTGGAAGAAACACATACTAGAACAGTTCGATCGTGTACCTGGTCCCCTTCTGGGAAATTATTGGCTACAGCCAGCTTCGATGCGACCACTGCCATTTGGGAGAATGTTGGGGGTGATTTTCAATGTGTTTCCACTTTAGAGGTATGATTACTGTATCTTCGTTGCCCTTATGTGCTTGTGATTCATAGGGTTTTGTCTTTCAAGTTGTCAGTTCAGTTCTCTTTAAATACGGTAGGAATGAGTAAGCATGGTGCGGTGTAAGTTTGCTGGCTAGATAAGCAATCCTGACTGTGGTTTCTCCTCACTTTAGTTTTCGATTTGTGGTGGTGGTCTGCTAACAGGGTCATGAAAATGAAGTCAAAAGTGTGTCTTGGAATGCGTCTGAATCTCTATTGGCGACGTGTAGTCGAGACAAAACTGTTTGGATTTGGGAAGTGATGCCAGGGAATGAATTCGAGTGTGCTTCAGTGCTGCAGGGCCACACACAAGATGTTAAGATGGTTAAGTGGCATCCAACCATGGATATTCTATTTTCCTGTAGCTATGATAATACCATTAAGGTATTGTATGCGGGAAATCCTCTACTTATATAGTTTGTGCGAGTGGCTCTTCATTTTAGTGATCAATATCAAAATGAACTGTAATTTTAATTTTTAAATGAAATTCTGAATCAGGTCTGGGCTGAGGATGATACTGGTGATTGGCACTGCATTCAGACCATAGGTGAATCTAGCAAGTACTACCTTAAATCCCTTCCTAAAATGTATTTTCCATATGTGTTATAAGCACTATCGTGGGTATTTTACTGCTTTTATACTTCACATCATGATGTGGTTACCCCTAGTTTTTATTATATTGGTGCATCATTTTTGTGCTGCTGCTGTGAAAACCAGTTGGTTTAACTCATTTTGTTTTCTCCCCTCCTTTTCAGTGGCCACTCTTCTACTGTTTGGGCCATTTCTTTCAACGCTGAAGGGAACAAAATGGTTACATGTAGGTATGTTGAACATAGTTCCTCACTAATAGTTAATTATAATTGCCAAGTGCATGGACAGGCAGATTTTTTTGTTTGGCACCCAAGAAAAATGAACTAAAAGAAGCTCTCTTTTTTGTTCAGTGACGATCTTACCTTAAAAGTATGGGAAGCAGATATTGAGGGAATGAGATCTGGTGATGATCAAGTACTTTGGTGAGTTAAGCATTCTGTTCACGTTGTTTGAGCATGGGCAGTAATTCTAATGCTACCATAAACTTGATATATGGCCCCTGTTAATGAGACTGTTCCTTGAAGCAAGCAAAGAGGAGTGGATTTGATGCAAAATTGTAAAGTTTAATAAAAGCAGTCTGTTGTGCTAGGCCATGGTCACCACATAATGCATCTGTAGGATTATTGCCTTTTCACAGGCATCCAATTAAATTGAAATAACTTCCGCAGCTTATGGTTCAGTAAACTAGTGTGTGTCTCTAACATATAACCATTTTCCTGTGATGATATGTTTTTAATTATTGGTTCAATTTTTTTACGATGCTATGGTTTGCTTTTCAGGAAACATATTTCTACACTCACAGGGTATCATGATCGTACAATCTTTTCAGTTCACTGGTCAAGGTAATAGTGACACCTACTTGAAGCTGATATGTTCAGTCAATATTTTGATTTTCGTGTCTTTGGTGTTGGTTATCCAAGTTTCTCTCTGAGTGGCAGTACTAAATTGCTATCATATTGCCATATCTCAAAACTCCTAAGCATATATGCTATCTCATCCAATAAAGGGAAGTGGAATGAAAGAATGTTTTTATCCTCGGGTGATTCATTGGAGAACATTCAAAGCTGCTAAGTAATGGTTTTTCAAGGTGTCTCTCTAATCTTAATGGACATATACAGTAGTGGGCTAGCTCATATGGTTTTTGTATTTCACATGTTGCACTATTGTTGTGCAAGTTATTTGCATGGATGTTAGACACACACAAAAGAAAAAGAGAACAAGCCTTCTCTCATATAGTTAAATTTTATCTGCATCTCGGAAACATTCTATCTCTGTCCTAAATTGCTTGCATTTCGTTTGTGTCGTTCCTTTTAAATCATGAAACTGATCCTCATCTGGTTGTTGTATATCTCAGGGAAGGTATTATAGCCAGTGGAGCAGCAGATGATGCCATTCGGTTTTTTGTTGAAAGCAAAGACAGTGCGGTACTGGACTCTCTATTCCTTAATTTGAGCTACTCATAAATTGGAAGATTACTGCTATTGTTATATCAGTTGCAATGACCATTTTGTTTATAAGATTTTATACGATTTGCAGCCAAAACTAGCCAAGTCTTTGTATACTTTCTGACACAACTAATACTAAAATATGGTCAAGGGTGGATGATGCATATGTTGCTTAGTGAAGCCTATAACTGCAAAACTTGAAATATCTGAGATGCCACGCTTCTTATCTTCCAAATATCTTCATCTGAAGATCTTCTCTGTGCTCGTTTCAGGTTGATGGCCCTTCTTATCGATTGTTGTTGAAGAAGGAAAAAGCCCATGATATGGATGTAAACGTAGTGCAATGGAGCCCCGGGGTAAGATCATACTGTCTTTACAACTTAATCCTTCTGAGATGACCCTTGATACTGAAATTAGCTTTTATCATTAGTTAAGTTTGAATCTGGCAATTAGACAGTGGGTGTTTCACTAATTGCAATCAACTGATGCGCTCTTAATCAGTCCTGCCACTCTTGAACTAGAGATAAAGTATCTCTCACATCTTGCTAGGATTGTTCACATATTGCAATGATAGTAAAGCTTGCAACATTATGAGTCAAACTAATTTGATTTTATGTTCCGTGTAAGACTACCGAAGAGTTGAGGCACCATATGCATTTATAACATGATAATTACCTGCCCACTTCATGTTATGGCCTCTGTTTTATATCGTTAGGCGCACCAAGATATGAACTTTGGCATTGTTCGAGGGTTAAATGTTGATCAAACTGAGTTCACACTGGCAGGAAAATCGGGTTTTGGCTTCTGCAAGTGATGATGGCACGATAAAGATATGGGAATTAGCAGCCAATAGTACTTGATGAACATACAGAGTCTTTTAATCTGTGCATGATCAGGCATCAATGGTGTTGTATTATTTATCTGAACTGGGAGAATTGTTGTTCCATTCTACCGAAAGCTATCTCGTTATGAGATGATGCAGCTCAAATAGATGTTAGGTCCAGAGTATACTCTCCTACATTGCTTTCTTATTGTTTCGAATCATCCTCAAATGTAACGAATCGACCAAAACTATAGCAGAACTGCAATTCGAGTCAGTAAGCTGATGCAAGTTTCTATATTCACTGTGACTAAAGCATTGCTCTTCTCGTACTTTTTTCCTGTGCTGAAATTTGTTTCATAGTAAATTAACAAGTAGATGTGTGCTCAATACATGGAAGGGAAAACTCTCATTGTGAAGAAGTATGAAGATGCCAACAAATACACGAGAATGGAAATACAGAAGAACTCGAAAGAGGACGAATGTTCATGCAGAGCTTATTAATGTTCTATAGCATTGATCATTTTCAACACCTGTTTCCAATGCTCAATCCCTGGGGACTTGGAGTCCTTAACCTAGTCCTCAATCCCTGCTGAGCTGCGAGAGCATCACGAGCCGACATGATGCCATTCGACACGATCGCAGCGTCGAAGGCAGAACAGTCGATCCAATCCTTGAGCAGCTCTTCCTGTCCCCAAGTCTCTGGGATCCAAACTCGTCCGGCCACTTCTACCCTGTGCCTCTTCAGCTTCTCCCGCCCACACCACCCGTCTTCCTCTTCCTGCAGCAACGATGGCGTTGTTGTTGTTGTTGCAGTTTCCTCCACCTCCACTGCTCCGTCCCTGCCAGTAATGCTACTGTCCAACCCCTGCCCTGCTGTTGCTGCTGCTGCTTGTTCTTCTTCCCAATTGCGACTAAGGGGATTCGAAGGCGACGAGGAGGAAGTTATGCTTGTGCCATGCCTGTCCTTTGCTTTCTTCTCTTGCTGGTGGCTGTCTGGTGTGGTGTTAACACAATGGCTAGATGATGCTAGTACTGTTGCGTGAGCTTCTTCAGCTGTAGATTCCAAGGGGTATTCTCCACTGGGATTCATGGTGCCTGAGCTTGTTGTCAAACTCTTCGACGTACTCGACATCCTAGGTAGCGTTGAAGCGGGAAGACGAAGAAGAAGTTGCGGGATGGGATGGAATGATTGCAGCAAGTAGAGAGGAATGGTGGTGGAAAGGGAAGAAGATAGATGGAGGGTTGGGAGGGAGGGAGGGAGGAATAATGGGTGAGGGGAAGTTAGATTAGACGTCAAAGCTGTCCCTTTGAAAGTGTAATGTGAGTGGCAAGTGACAAAGGAACGTGTCTCCTTTGTTCTGTGTTTGTGGGAGAATGAGAGCTTCAACTTGTGTCAAGTTAAACCACCACTGCTCTGCCCCCTTCCACCAATTTGGATGGTTTAAATCACAATAAACCTGGTTTGAGGAATTTTTTTCCCCCAGAAATATCATTAAAAAGAAAGAAAATTAAAAAATATCACCTATTTCCGAAATTTTCCAAAAATACCATCATTTCTTGAAAATCGTATGGTGGGCACGCAGTTTTCGATGTAAACCGCATGTGTGGGGGGCGGTTTCGGTGACCGCATGGGGTTGGGGCGGTTTGGTCCAAAATCGCTGCCCCACTCAGCGATTTGGTCCTTTTTTCTCAATAAATCCTAACATAGGTGGGAACTTCAAACTAACGTATCTTTGTGCTCGGGTATCCGATCGTAGCGAATTTTTTTTTATTCCGCATAACTTTTCGAGATCTTACGGTTTTCGAGAAATGGTGGTATTTTTGAAAACTTTCGAAAATGGATGATATTTTTTTGAATTTTTTTCTTTTTAGGGGTATTTCTAGAAAAAGTCCCTGGTTTTATATGATTCACATAAATTCACATTTTTTTATATTCATAAAATTCAAGTGATTAGTGATCAAATCGTAAATAAGTTTGGTTGGAACAGAACAAACCATTGCACACTCGTAGACCAAGACCAGCTGAATAAAGGAGAGGACATAGATCATCATCAACTTCAATTTGCATGACCCAAAAAAAGATACTTGCAATTGTACCCTCTTTCTTTTCTGTTGTGGAGATTTTTTTTTAATAATAAATTGTTGGTGGGGAAGGAGGGAATTGTGAGGTGGATGTTTGATCTTGGCTTGGTGTGGAGGAGAGGAAGCGGTCTATGATATTTGGATGAGAGGGGGCCAATGAGGTTCTAGGGTTTTATTTTTATCCCATTTTTGTTCCTTTGGACAAGAGATTTTGAATTGTATTATGTGAAGCTTTGCTTGCTTTTCTATGGTTTGGTTGGGAAGTTCCAACTATCATTAATGGGATGGAGACTATTTTCTTTCTTCTTCCTTCCCTAATTTCGCTTTTCTTTTCCCCCACCTCTATTTTTTTTTTCAGTTACCATAAAAGGAAGATTCATATTTTTGTTTTCTTTTGATAAGAAAAGGACGTAAAAGCACCACCACAGGGAATGATGATGAAAGCACCAATATTACAATGCTCGTACTTGTCACACATTAATTACGAGTGATTGTTTGTCAAGTAATACTTACAAATTTGGAATGAAATATGTCTGAGTTTTTTTAACCAAGATAAGTCCTCGAAGTATGGTTGGACTGTAGTATTACAAAGAAGATAATAATAATAACCGATAGTCCGTATGCAATTGGACTCCCGATAAAAGAGCTTGTTTTATCATGAAGTGAACAGTTATATTGAAGCTCCGAAGAGCAAAAAGACACGAGACTGGCTCAAAGGAAGAGAAAAGAGAGTGGACTTCCTCTAAGACAGCTCTTGCTCTCCAGTATGAAGATCTCCTTGAAGTAGCATCAGTGATGACCAGTTAGGAATCTCCCCAAAAAGAAACAGTGGAAAAATTATGATGAAGGTACCATTTCATGGCATCACATAAGGCAAGCGGTTCTGAGGTATAGGCATCGGTAAGTCCAATATAAGCTTTACCAAAGGCAAAAAGAACGGTTCTATCACTTGTGAAGCCGATGAAACCAGTTGCACACCCTTGCTGTGCTTTTGTGGCCCCATCAAAGAGGACCAAACTACCTTCACTAGGGTAGCTTATCTCCAATCCTCGAGTCTGAGAACCTTGCCTTGTGGAAGAATGCACTGTTGACCTTTGCACCCGTCGAGACTTCTGAACCTTTTGTACCTTTGTCGTTTCTCATTCCTCCACACATGAGTTGTTAGTTGCCTGTACATGACCTGGGATTGATATGAAATATGATCATAAGTAGGGATGGAAATCGGTACGGTATCGGTATCCCAATACCAAATACTGAAATCTCGGACACCGAATTACACCCTAAACTCAATCCCAATCTCAATCCCTAAATAATTTCGGTATCTCAATCCCAATCCCGAAATATTTAGGTATCTCAATCAGTACTTCTGTTTCCCAATCGGTATTATCGAATACGAAATCAATTACCTTTGCAGTTAAAAATTAAATATATAAATTAGATTTAATTGTTTAATTTAGGGCAAAGAGACTAAGTAAAGAGTCTTGAGTTTGCATCTTTAATTTGACGAATTGGGGGTTGAGAGACGACTAATACTAGTGTTTGCTTATTGGTGTTATGAAAATAACAAGAGATATTAGGTGAGAAACGAGAGTGACTTAAATTGGAAAGTCAAATTTGAGTTGGATGGGGACTTTTAAGTTGTGAAATAGTGATGGAATGATCTATGTATAATTAAATGACAATCTTGGTGGTTGAGAGTCGTGTAGTAGTTAATGAGAGAGTCTAGTTGAGAGGATAAAATACACACTAGCTTATATTTCGGTATTGATCGGTATTTCGGTATATACTGATCCCATTCCAGTAATCCCTAATACCGAATAACAATTAAAATTCAATCTGAATCTCAATCCCAAGAAATAATACGTGCATTCGCTAATACCAAATATAGACAAATTTGGTACGGTATTCGGTATATCCCAAATACCGGTACCAAACTTCCAGCCCTACCCATAAGTGGCCTTGCATCGCCCTTTCCATATTCTCCAAATGAGGAATACTATGAAGGAAACATCACTCTTGGATATGTGACAGGTAAGAAATATGTATCTCCAAGATAAATCCTATGAGGTTCTCTTCATCGTATCTCGAAGTTGGTCTAAACTTGTTATCAACCACAGTTCTCTAGTGATTCTACAGTCAAAATAACAGTGTTTGAGGTCTTCAATTTCCTCACAACATATGGGACATGAATTGGAGATAATTTTTTTCGTAATGCAATATCCCCGTAACGGAAAGGAAGCCACTGACCAACCTCCATAAAAAAATCCAAGCTTGGGAGGCACTGAGATACTCCACAAGTAGAGCTGGAAGTTTGGTACCGGTATTTGGGATATACTGAATATCGTATCGAATTTATCACTATTTGGTATTACCGAATACCAACTTATATTTTAGGTATTGGGATTGGGATTCATTTGGGAGTGTTATTTGGTATTCGGGATTACGCGATTGGGATCGATATATACCGAAATACCAAAAAATACCGAAAAATAAAAAAATTAATGAAATATAGCATACAACCTTTAGTCATTCCTCACTCTTTCACAACTTAGAAACCCCTATCCAACTCAATTTTGACTTTTCAATTTAAATCACTCTCGTATCTCACCTAATCTCTTGTTATTTTCATAACACCAAAAGGCAAACACTAGCATTAGTCGTCTCTCAGCCTCCAATTCGTCAAATAAAAGATTATCAATAGCAAGAATTTGAGATGTCACCTCTCCTCCATTCTTCATATCCATATCCTAGCTCTAAGGCAAACTCAAGACTCTATACTTAGTCTTTTTTGCCCTAAATTAAACAATCAAATTTAGTTCATATATTTAATTATAAATTGTCAAGTTAATTAATTTTGCTTTCGACAATATCGATTGAGATACCAAGATTTTTAGGGATTGAGATCCCGAAGTTATTTAAGGATTGAGATTCAGATTGATTTTAGGATGTAATTCGGTATTCTGAATATCGGTATTTGGTATTGGAATACCGATACCGTACCGATTTCCACTCCTATCCACATCCACAAGTACTTCCAAATTTTTGTATAAAAAAAATCTAGGATATCTTATGAGGAAGGTTAATCTCATATATAAGCAAATAATTACGGAATTTTACTGTATACTCTCTAGCTTATCATCTCGAGGGCAAGATGGGAGTGGGATGGATAAACTCTTTTCTATAGTAGATGGATAAAATACGGATGAAAAGGATTTTGTTGGCTAACGACTAATTATTAGCCAAACCTTTCAAAATACAAACTATCAGTCAAATCTTTTGTAACACATCAAAATATAAGCTATTTTCTACAAAAATATAAATATATTAGTCATTTCTCTGTCTCCGTTAAATAATTTTTGTAACTCTTTTCTTACTTAAAATATTAAAGTTTTGGAATGTTGGCCTCCATGTGTCTCTTCCAAGTCAGTATCATGTTGCCAAGTCAATATTACTAACAGAACTGCTAAATAAAAGTTAACATTTGGCTAATATTTTGTATTTTGAAAGATTTGTTTGATATGTAAAAATGCGAGAAATATTTGGCTACTAAATAGTATGTAGCTTAATATATATTATCACTTTTGACTTTGATGATCACTTGACTATTGGACTGTTTCGTTTTATTTCACTTTGTTTCCTTTTCTCACCTATCTTAGGCAACTTACCTAACATCAGTGTAGATAAGAGCAACATGATAGACTACTATTTTGCTGCAGTAAGTAAATTTCCTCCATGCCATTCATTACTCATTGGCCCCTTCCCAAACCCTAGCCCAAATGTAAGTACTGGCTTCAGAAACGGCCCAGAATACACTAGTACAGAAAATAGATAAATCAAAGTCAAAGGGGCCAAAGGGATAGTTGCAGCAAATGTAGTGTTGCATGTTGATGAGTTTTGAATATGGTGCGAGTTTGATTCATTTTTTAAATCAGCGGGTTGGGTAGAGTTTGATTTTTGTCAAAACTCAATTCGTTTTTCACCCGACTGCACCTATAAAGAAAACAACGCCATTTTGTATACGATCGGAACAATGTAAATAATTTATGAATGTTATTAGTTTTCATGGCAATATAAACCTAACAATATGGATAATTTATGAATGCTAGTAGTTTTTATGGAGATATCTTTATAGGGAAAAGTTTGATAACATTACAATATGAGTG